GGAGACTTCCTAAAATCAGTGTAATTAATATTGGGAGAAGTTGGATAACTTGTTACAACTTTTGATAGTTAACCACAGAACATGCACATTAAAAAGAAAACAAAACACAAATTTCCCTTGTGAAATAGTGAACTGAACTCTATTAGCCAATACCTATACCTTTTATATATACCGAAACATCACTTGTAAGGACTTTCCTAGTCACCCCTGATTCCCCAAACTGAGCCACTTTAATTGTACTTGATTTTAAAATAAAATCCTCTAACTCTAAAACAAAATGACTGCTTTGAGATTCAGTGTGTGAAATAACATTCATAAGATTTAACACATCAACCTCAGAGGTTTCTGTACATGCACTTTACAGTGGCATAACAAATCTATTTGTAGAAAGGGACAATTATAAATTTGGAATTCAGAGTTAATGTTTATCTGAAAGACTTCCATCAGTTATATTCTAGAAATGCCAAGCTGTACATTTACTGTGGACAACAATTTTTACAATGAACACTTTTTTTTAAAATAATTCAACAGGCAGTCATTTAAAACACACCACACACACACACACACACACACACAATCCAGATTCCCTCCCACCTTTAAAAACCTCTGTTTACATATAGAATAGTTTAGGCGGTAATATAAATTCATTTTGTAGGAAAAGCTTTTAAATTACACTATATTTATAGGATAAAAAATACCACTGCTTTATTTTACAAAGCAATGAAACAGACACTTTTCTTAATGTGCTTTAACTAAAGAGCACTTTGCAGCAAAGTTCAGAAATAACTCCTGAAGTGACCAGTAGCACTAAATAAATGCAACACGCTCCAGCAGCAAGGTGCTGCCACTTTTTAACCTCTTGTCTATCTGAAATAAACCTTGTTGGTCAATCCCTTAACACTAGGCAGAGTTCTTTTTCTATGCTAAGCAATAAATGGGAAATAAATGTTTAAAATGCACATTAAACTTTATATTATCATTTAAGTTCAGTGCAAGAATTAGATAAAACTTATTAAGGTTTCTGCTTTATTAGTAAATAGCTGCATTTGAACAATGCATCATTTGCCATAATTTTGAAATGTTTTATAGCTGCTCAATGGCAAAAAGATTTGAAAAAAAAAAAAAAAAACCAAAACAAAAACAAAAACAGATAACCTGGTAAAGTGTATGAAATTTCCACTCCCTGATAGGGCCTATAAGGACCTGATAGTACTTTACAAATTTGTACCCGATGTTAAGTACTTAATATTTAAATTATAAAGCTTGAAAAAACCACACACAACAACATTACACTTGGTGAAAGAAAAAGCACTGACTAAATTTATACAATCGTACTCAATGAATATAATTTAAAAAAGATATTTAGGGAATGTATAAAATCAAACTGTATTCACTGTATTGATCCCATTCCAGATAGAGAGGAGTTGCCTGTTAATTTTTGTTCCACTGATTTAAGAGTTTTAATTCTGTCTGTTTGTTATGGCCAAAGTATGCTTTACAATTTAACACATTTAATAGTGTAAGTGGCCATGCCATGTGTCACCAAGTATTTCTTCTTAACTTAGCTTCACCGAAACATACAGGGTAATCAAAGTGCTAAGAATTTTCTATTAATGAGAAAAGCCCACTGCTGTCATACTACACCTCACCAACGGTTACAGTTGGGTCTAAGAGTGTCTTTAAAAATGCATTTTACAGAGATGTTTCAGTCCCACAATAAATAAATAGTGGAATGATTGTTTTTGTGCTGCTCAAAATAAATGAGTTTACAAATACATGTTAAATAAACATGGTAACCATTAATCTTTTAAAAATCCTCTATAGCCAGGCAATTTTTCATACTGTTACACTACAGAACAGGATTTTAAACCATTAGAAACACTTTCTATACATGCTACATTGATTACAGATATATAATTTTGGATGCATTTGCAGGAGAAATATTTGAATTTGACATTCAAGTGAGCAGTAACATTAATCTCAAAACATCCCCAAGTCATCATCTACTTGTTTTCCTTTTATAAATGTATTGCAGATTGGTAAATTAACTTCTAAATTGATTCAGCACAAGCAAGCAGCTGTTTGTGGATTCGTAACACAGAAATGATACATTAACAGCAATGTAACTGTCAAACATTTTGAACCATACAAAAGTACAGGGAAGTTTGGAGCTGAAAACATGATCACCTTAAGTACCATCATAACTAAAGATACATAAATTTAATATTAAAGCAAAAAACCTTTGTTTTATGAGAGGCAAGAAGGGAAATTTCACCATGCTTACATAATTTTTATAGTACTTTGAAAATACTTTAACATTAACATGAGTGCTCAATTGATCTCATCTTGATGTCAAAGCCATCCTTGTTACTTGAAAATTTACTATCTGTGACTAACTCCAGAGATTTATAACCTGCCAAAAAAACAAAAAAAATTCACTGCCATGAAGCCAATTCCAATTCACAGAGACCCTACAGGGCAGAGTAGAATTGCCCCACTGGGTTTCCAAGGTTGTAAATGTTTATGAAGCAGCCTGCCTCGTCTTTCTCCCATGGAACAGCTGGAGGCTTTGAATGCAGATCTTTTGGTTAGTAGCTAAATGCTTTAATCATTTTGCCATCAGAGATCCTTTTATGACCTTCAGTAATTTGTAATTTTGTGGAAAGAAATCTGAATCAAGAGACATGGAAATGGGTGTGTTGGAGAAGTTATTTGCCAGACAGTGAGTACAGGCTGCTGCCAGTGAGGCTGTGTTTGCTTTAAACTACTTATCTTCAAATACAGGCTACTGCTAATGGTGTTCTCATGGGGCATAGACTTGTGGATGCACCCTTACAAGGGTCAATGGAGTTCTGTACACCCTCCATTATTTGCTAGAGACCTGTCACATGCTGCAGGATGACAGACCACAACACCTTTTTATAAGTAAGCCCATCTCATAACAGAATTCCATACTCCCTCTCAATGCACGAAGGTTCCAGTGTTTTTGCTATTAATTTGACACTAGATCCTCTTGTACTTTTCTAAATTTTAATAAATGAAAAACTTATGAACATCTAAAGGCATAAAATTAGTACAGGATTTTTTAAAGGTTTGCCAACTTACTAAAAAAAAAAATAAAAATACAAATATACTACCATTCAAACCAATCATTCTTTGGGTTAAAAGCACGTTTTATGTGAAGGTATATAGGGAAAAATAATCATCTCCCTTGAGATTTCTTGAGATAAAGATTAAGTTTATATATTAGCTCTGTATTTCTTATGCTCCCAGATTAAGAAGTAAGCCTTGGAAATAATGCTGGGAATAAAACCAATGTATAGGTGTGCACTGGGTCCACTGGGGCAACATTCAACTGCATATATGGATATCATGGTTCCATATATATATATATATATATTTTTTTTTTTAAAAAAGGAAAATAGTTTTGTTTTCATCATATCCCTCAAATGGTTTTAAAGATTCCAATCCCCCAGAGAGAATGAGCAGTGAAGCTCCAGGGTGCATCCTCCTTCTTCTCCTCCTGGCTTTATTCACCTGCCCAGCAGCTGTGCAGACCTTCACTCCTGATGCAGGGCAGGGCCCACTACAGCCCCTCTGCTCCTGCTGTGGGTGCTGGAGGTGCCGGCTGGGCCAAGGGTGCTTGATTGCAGCTCCTGGCAGCGGCACTCAGGGCCGCCACCACTAGCTTAGCTTCCAGCACCTGCACACCAATCTCTGCGGACACCACTCTGTATTCCCTGTGTGGTGCCCCCTCTTGAGCCTGGACATGCACAAAGTCCACCTGGCCCAGCCACATTCCCAGCAAGGCTGGCCTCCTGTATTCAGTGAATACAGCTCTCCACCTTTGTCTGGTGGGCTCCCATAATACAGTAAATTTATGGGGATTTTACTATGGATTTTCATGGACTGCCTATATATAATATGGTGTTCACACAATATCCAAATTGCAAACATCCTATTTCAGAGAAGGTATTGTGGCTAGTAAGTGATACCTACCTGTATTGTGAAAATCCTGTGCAAAAGCTCCTAGACCCATCAATAAACATCTTATTAGTATTTCCAATGGGAAGATTTTGCTTTATATAACTTGTTAACAGAAATTTTTCTTCATACTTATTTTAAAGAAATTTGCATTTTAAAATAACACGAGTGTGAGTGTTTCTTTTTCCTCCAAGAACACCAATTTGTACCCATTGGAAAGCTTTGACTCCAGCACTGCTTTCTGGGTCTAGGCTAGACAATTTTCTTATAATACGTTTGGCAGAATTACAGTGTACAAAGTACTGTAAGTTAGGTCCAATGCATCTGCCTTCCTTCAAGCCCACACTGTCCTGCTGAAAATCCTTAATGCTTCAATTCATATACAAATGTACACTGTAGGACTCCATCACAGCAAAACCAGCACCTAAGCTACATACATTATTTTTTAGAATTCAGTGACAATAAAAAAGACTCTCTAGCAAAATTCTACTGAAAGCATTTGAAGATAAGTGAAGTGTCAGCCAAGGAAGCTTTTCCACCTGGCTACTTTCTGCATCTTTGTAGAGCACACTTTTTCCACTGTGCAGCATCAAAATAAAAACTTATATGGTGCAAGATAAAGAAACTTAACATCTGCATCCCTATTGCTGAATCTTCTTTTTGATTCTCAATAGGAAAGTCACGTGAGTTATAGTAATCAAGTAATAGTTCAAACAAAAAAAAAATAATTTGAAATATCAAATTACAAAGTATTGCTTCTCATAAACAAAGATACACATAAAATTTAAACCATTATAAATTCAGAATTACGAAGAATATTTAAAGGAATGGAAATTTTTACTTCAAAACCTTACAAAGTGTAAGACTGTGTGGCCTTCTAAAAATATGCCATGTTAAATAATGTTGTGGTAAATACATTAATAGGTGTATCTCCATGGTTATGAATCTTTTCAAATGTTGCTGAACATCTTTATGAAAATTCCTTTGGAGATGAGTACTGTGGAAATTTTAAGTGCATTTCCATCTGATTTTCTTTCAAGTCCCATCCTATACCTATCATGATAAACTTCTTTTTCAGAGTGTCATACTATTTATATAAGCTGATATGGAAGAAGCTCTGTATTTTTCAAGCAGATGACTTTTCAGTGCACTGACAGATGGATCTCAAAGCAGCCCCAATACAGCTCACAGAAGACCTCACCCCAGTGTTCCTCCAATTCATAGCAACTCCCTAGATTAACTGGCCACTACAAGTATATAATTAGAGGGTGGGGGTGGAGGAAAGGGGAACGTGCTTAAAAACCAGGACTCTCCAGAAGGCCTTTTCTTCATTGTAGTCAGGAACATTGCACATCTAAAATTCATGTTAACTGCTATCTACTGGAATGACTGGAAAAGTGATAACCTGCCAACTGTGCTTCATTTCACATCACTGGGCCAATACAAACAATTCCACTGATCCAATGGAATCCAATTGGGGAACCAAGTGATTAAAATGTTATTCTCCAAAACAATAAGGACTGATCTTCAACTGTAGGTATTTTTTCTTCTTTTTATTTCACCTGTTTACAAACAACATGATACAATGTGTTAAAAAAGATATCTTTTAATGATTATATATATGTTCCCTCCCACTCTGCAATAATCAGGCTGAATGAACACTGATGGATTTTTGTGTCCCAGTTAAAATTTTCTTATAAACAGTCATTTAGACAGAATGGTGTATAGGAAGCATTTCTTTTTTTTTTTTTTTTAAAGGATATATTTGTATTCTTAAAACAATAAAAATGAAAATAATTGAATACAGATTTTGATTACTGTTAAAAAGGTTGGATGTTAGATACATTTCCACCTTTATTGTTTTTACTCTAATATTTTATGTCAAAAAGTATACATTAAAAAGGTAAAAACAATCTACCTTGCCTCATAAGCTCATAAACACTATTAAGTGGTATCTTTAAAATTCACTCGTGAGTATGTTTCTGTTTTGATAGTCTTAGAGGACAGGACTAATACACTCAAACCAAACTCCCTGCCATCAAGTCGATTCTGACTCACAGTGACCCCCACTGGGTTTCTGAGGCAGTAAATCTTTATGGAAGTAGACTCCCCATCTTCCTTCCATGGAGTGGCTGGTGGGACAGAACCACCAACCTTTTGGTTAGCAGTCAAATGCCTTAGGAACTGCATCACCAGAGCTCTTTAGGGGACATGACTAAATATTAGTCTTTAAATGGATGCTTTGTCAAGACTTTTTTTAATTCAAAGTTGTTGTGTTTGAGATCTATGAGCTTATCAAGGGCAAAGGAGCATATATATATATATATATATATATATATATATATATATACACACACACACACATACATATGTATATATATGTATATGTGTGTGTATATATATATATACACACACACACATATACATATGTATATATATGTATATGTGTGTGTGTGTGTGTATATATATATATATATATATATATATATATATATATATAGGGAGCTCTGGTAGCATAGTGGCTAAGACACTTGCCTGCTAACCAGACGGCTGGCGGTTCAAACCCACGAGCCACTTCTCGGAAGGAAGGTTGGGCAATCCTACTTCCGTAGTGATACTGCCTTGGAAACCCAAGGAGGGGTCGCTATGAGTCGGGGCCGACTTGACAGCACACAACAACAACAACAACAAAAAATATATATATATATATATATACCACACATACATATATATATATATATATATATGAAAGACCTACCTATCAGGTAAGGGCCGACATTCATATGAATAAGTTACCACTTAACTGATTACAGTTTGGGACTGACTTAAGATTGTATCTACACATGGCTACTGAGCATTGAAATGAGGCTAGTGTGACTAAGAAAGTGAATATTTATGTCATTCAATTTAAATTAAAAATATGAGATAATATAAAAGTTTAAATTATTATTAAATAAACACAACTTCATTGTTTTAATAGGACTTTTCACTTTATCCACTGAATATTTACCATCTTAACTGAGAAGTGTATTATGTGTAAAATACACACTGGATTTCAAAGACATGGTACCAGAAAAAAAAAAAAAAGCAAACTATGTCGTTATTTTTTAAATGTTAATTACATTTTGAAATAAGATGTTTCCAAAATCAACAAATCAATTTTTTATCCTTTAAAATAAGCTTATTAGAAAAAATAAAAATGATATATGTAGTTTACATATTTCTATTAGACATAATAGGTTAAAAAAAGGTGCTCCAGGAAACAAATCAGAAACTGTAAAGAACGTGTATATACTGACATACATTTGTTTATGTTTAGAAAGCCCCTTGAAAAACACTGTAAACTCTGGCTATCTCTGGCAAGAGTTTCTAGAGGTGGCAGGGGAAGCAGAAAAGGTACTTTAAATTCACTTTTTACTTCATGAAGTTTTAATAACTTAGCTCTTTTAAAAGAAGATTGTAGTTACCCAAATGATTTAAAAACTAACAGGAAAGAAACCTATTAATAGGAAATAAAAATTACAGCCTTTTCACAGCAACTTACAGAGAATTATCTAAAAGGTCAGAGCCTTGGAATTCTTCTCCAAGACCATGAAGCAGATAGATATAGCTCCTTCATCACTGCTGGCTCAGATGGCAGAGACAGCAGCTAGTCTATGGTTTGCCCTTGGCTTAGGATAAATTCAGTCTTTTAAAATGCCTTTGAAGATATATGAGCGTTTTATAGTTTCTCTCAACATACATTAGCCATAAACAATCAGCCAAAAAAAGAGAAAAAACTAAAAAGTTTTAAGCAACTTTCCAGTGGTATAGATCATTTGTAACATCAGCAATAAAGGCAGAAGCAACAGCTAGAAGCTACAAATAACATCCCAGCCACCTGAGCATAGAAGTGCGGGTACAGTATAAATGTGTTGGGCAGTATCTGGAGGGATGAGAGAAAACAGACAGCGAGAGGCTTGCCTGAGCAGCTGCTGATGCGCCTGTACCCTGATGAGGCCATGACAAGCCAGCTGTAATGAAGGGACTAAACACACATTCATGTGACTGCCAGCTGTGGAACTGACCAGTTAGCACCAGGATGGTAGTTTTAGGCATGTACTTAGCTGTACACTAAAGAAGCTACAAGACAAAGAGACAATGCAATAGGCAGCAAGAAGTGTAAAGCAGAAGATAATCCATAAATATCCAGCATGGAAAAGAATGTGAGTCAGATACATCTAGCTCTCTAGACACATTCACACATGGAGTAGGCACACTGATATATTTATATTAGTCTGCAAAGAATACTGTACCTATGTTCATACATAAGCATAAATGGTTTGAAAGTAGTTTGGGATCAAAAAGAAGTCATGTAAAGTGACTGATGATTAGGGCCTCTATACATAAGAAAAGGAGCTCTGGTGGCACAGTGGTTAAAATATTTGGCTGCTAACTAAAAGGCTGGCGGTCAGAACCTCCAAAGGACAAAGATGAGGCAGTCTGTTTCCATAAAGATTTACAGCCTTGGAAACTCTACGGGGCAACAGTTCTACTCTATCCTATAGGATATCACTATGACTTAGAAGGACTCTATAGCATTGAGTTTTGGGTTTTTATACATAAGAAAAGGAAATATACATGGGAGAACAGAAGGGGTGTGTATGCTCAGGGAGCAGGAGTGCATAGGAGGGAAGGACATAGGGAAGAGGTGGCTTCTGGGGAGGAAGTGGGAAGAGAGCTGTTGCATTTACGGTCAATGTCATGAGACACAGTGTATGTGCACTGCTGTATAGAAGATGAATTTGCTCTGTAAACTTCCACACTAATCACAATAAAATTAAAAAAGGAAAGAAAAGAAAAGATAAGGGATACAAACAGCCTGGGACCCACAGCATGAAGCTGTACTACAGCGTGTTGGCTGAACCATGTTAAAGGTATGTGTTTTTCACTCTATTTGTTGTGTGTATGTTGGGGGGTGGGTGGGTGGTAGAATCTAGAGTAACATTTTCTTGATGGGCCTATACAGTTAGCTTTTCTGGGCATGAATTGGAATCGACTCAATGGCAGTAGATTTTTTTTGGGAGGGGGTGTGTACCCAGAACTCATATTAGAACTACTCATTCAGAATCTTTGGAGTCAGGGCCAGGAAGATTTTTAATTAGCTCTCCAGATAATTCTTATGATGAGGCAAGATGAAGAATCACTGTGCTAATGAGTAAGTTAATTATTCCCCTACTTACTTCCTCTAGAAATAAGAGTCATCTCTCTTTTGTTGAATGTTGTAAAGGCCATAGAAACATATTTCAGCAAAAGATCATAATAATTAACACTTTTGTATATTTGAATTATGATATTTCAGTTACAATCATAACCAATTCTACATACTAGTTAATTTATAGCATATGTTATCATCCTTACTGATTCTCTATATTTAGCATAACTTGTACATTGTTCTGTAACTGTCTTAATAAAAAGTGGTAAAGTACAACTTTCTATTACCTTAGGTCTAGTATATGTGTAACCAAAAAGGATCTTAATAGCAGAGGCATATTCAATAGGACCTGTATTAAATTTATCTAGATGATGTAGAAACTATGACAAGCTTTTGTAGCTTTAAAAGCTAAATAATCAGACAATACAGTATTGTTTCTTGAGTGAAATTAGAAAACTCCATGTGGACAACGAATAAGAGATCAAAATTTAATATGCATTATAGTTTATAACCAAAATAACTCAATTAGAAAAAGCCTTTTCCTATTCTTTAAGGGCTGGAATAAGACCCTCACTTTACTTGAGATACAGATGTACTGTAGAAATGTTGAATAAGCAGGATATAAAAATTATAGAAGTTATATCCTGAGAAGTGCTTTTCTGTTACCTTAAGCTTTCAAGACCGAATTATTTTCTGCTTTAAATTTTTTGTTAAAACCATGTGTTTTCAGTAATGGAAAGCATTTGGAATGAGAGTTTTTTTTTTGAGGTAATACAGCTTTTGATACAATTAGTGGGACACATATGTGCTGGTGCTGAGGTTGGTGAGAGGAGGCATGTTTTTTCAGGTTCAAACAGTTATACATGCCCCTGCCACATGGCAGCATGCACTAAAGGTGGGATAGCATCTTCATACTAAGTCCCAAGACTAGAAAATGTAGGTAGACACTATATATGTCCCATGGGTCATGAAAGGGTTAAGTATCTAGGAACTATAACACTATGTAAAACCTGAAGTTTACAAATTTATGATCCATGCTACAAGCGAGCTATATAATAAACAATATGCCTTGAACTCAATTAAAAATAAGGGACCCCATCCTCCTATATAAAAGCCATGCTACTACATGCTACTGAAGAAAATAAGGCCATTTACTTGTTAGTTTTCCCAGTCTGTGCAAGGCAAAACCTCCTCTTCATCTTCTGACTCAGGGGATGCTTCTTTAATTCTTCTAAGAGCTTCATGGATGCTCCGTGTTAGAGGGTCCGTATCGGGCAGAAGTGTGAAGGATTCTCTCAAAACTTCCTTCTGGACTTTCTTCAATTTCACCCCTTTCCTTATTTGTGCCAAGATATTATTACTATCATCTTCATCAGGAAAAGGACGCAGAGTTCGCTGTTCAACCTTTTTCAGGTGAAAACTGCCACGCTTCAAGGAAGCTAGCACCTCATCCATGGGTGAGCTCACTTTGGAAAATGAAACAGAACAGTTAGAGTTAGCATTACATTTACAGTCAAACTGTTAAACCACTACAGCTTTAGACTATGATAGCTCAGGACAATGAAAATGCAACCTACAAACAGGATCATCAAATGTGTGCTAGAGCAAAGGGGATCCTAATTACTTGTCCTTGTTGAAAAAATCCTAAGGCTCAAATTCCATGCCCAGCATTGTTGGTATTCCTCTATCATATACCAAAAGCAGTAGTCTTAGAAAAATCATGGAGAGATTCCTAAAGGATTTCCATTACTAGTCTAATCTTCAAATTCAGTGACAGGGTTACACATTTTAAAAATTAAATCTTTGATATGTTGGTGACTGTGCTGTATATTTCTATTTAGTTTTATATGTGAATATAAAATTTTCTCCCTGTGCAAGCTGAAAGCTTGTCAAGGACATAGTTTTTTTTATTTAATTTTTTAAAAAAAATAGTTTTATTGAGGTATTCTAAGATGCAATAATATCCTCTATTCTTCTTTGTCTCTTTATACAAAGAGCAGGTCCTCAATAAACATGTGACCAAGTATTAAATGGTCTTGCCACTGTCTTTCCAATGTGACAGTCCTGACGAGATGAATTATCCTTTCTGATGCAATTTTCTTATGTTCTCCAGGCTTAAAACCAGAACTTCTATCACAAAACAAAAGGATCACCCCTGTGCACTACCAAACAGATGAAGAATCAGTTCAGAAGACATATTTTTATAAAGTGCCTGACAACAGCTCAAGAAGGTACCCATCTCTGATGATGTTGGTTGATGTTGGTAATGTTAAGAATTCTGTTACAAAACTGTTTGTTATCAAATATTGTTCAAAATATAATGTTTAAGCTTTGTAAGGTCTTATGAAACATAAAGTCCTTTAATTATACCTCATTTTATACAAAAGATAAACATTAAAATATCTTTTAAATTACCTCTCCTCCTCTGCAAACCTTCTGTGGTCTTTTTGAGCTTCTTCCTGGCACTGACCAGCTGGGTGCTGTCAAAGAGGTGTGCTGAGGGAGCACTTGCAGATTTTGGGATCCTCTTCTCGTTCCCCTCCATTCTAGGCAGACCTTTCTCCAGTGTCTCCGTAGTGCTGTCCTTAGCAACAGGCAGAGGTGGTGGTGGGGGGGGAGGGGGAGGAGGTGGTGGTGGGGGAGGTGGTGTGGGAGGAAGAGGTGGTGGGAGTGGATCTATGGTAAGAGAACCTGGTTCAAGGTCATTATTAGTCAAAAGTGGAAGCGATACAGTGGGAGGCAGTTCAGAGGTAACACCACAGAGAGGTAATGAAGTGGCTTCAAGTTGTGCTAATGAAGGTTCTTCAAGCTGTGCAAGGCTCTGGGGTTCTGTGGCCTGTGATAACCCAAGACTGCTTCTTCCTTCCTTTGCCTCTTCAGTTTTCTCTTGTACCTGGTGTGCTCCTGGTACAGAGTCACACTGATCCTCGCAGGGCACGGGACTTGCTGTGCTTTTTCTTCTTGCGTGAGCCAGCCGCAATCTGGTTGATTTAAGTATGACTTGCCCAGGGTACCGCTGAAAAATCCAAAGTTTTATCATCAAACCCTTTATTACTTATTCATCATCAAATCCTTTATTAAGGCTTTGTTTCTTCTTAACTAGTTAATGAGTAAACTGTTCAAAATTACCATGTGATAAAAAAAAATTCTTTAATGATTAAAATTACTAATTCATATGTGGAGAAAAAAGCAATATAAGATATAAAACTTACACTATGTCAAAAATACATAACTTTCTGCATACCAGTAGCTTAAGAAAGTTTTGTTAGTTTATGTATTTTTCAATGGTTGCAGATAAAATTTTAAAATATTAATATATATTTTTAATAAATGTTACTTACCATTTAAAACAAGCTCCAGTAACAATATGTGCATTTATAGTAGACCAATGAGAGGGGATACAATTTTTTGGAGTACTTATATATAAAGAAGGAGCTCTGATAGCACAGTGCCTAAGGCATCTGACAGCTAACCAGAAGGTTGGTGGTTCAGACCTACCAGCCACTCCATGGAAGCAAGACTGGGCGATCTACTTCCATAAAGATTTCCGCCTTGGAAACCCAATGGGGGTTGGCTATGAGTTGGAATCGACTCAGTGGCAGTGGGCTTGTTTTTTCTGTTTTTCATATATAAAGAATTCTTCTTTTTATATCTTTAACGTAATAAAACCTACCTTCAATGCTATTTGGTGGACAACAGTTACTCAACACAAGGCTTTTCTAGTTTGGACCCTATGTAAAAATGTTTTCTCTCTTTTTTTTTTTTTTAACTAACAAGACTATGGATGAGCTTACTTCATCCATAAGGTGATCCCACTGTACAAAGTAAAGGTCTGGAACACTTTAATCCTGAACTCTATGGCTTAATCACAGTTGCAAGGAGATATTTAGATGCTGAGGTATCAGTGCCCATGTCATGGCTTAGCCTGGCAAGGAAGGCATTTCCCTTGGGGAAGCAGGAGCACTTCTCATATATGTTGATCCACCCTCTGTCAGTGGTTGTGTCCATATAGTACCAAAACAGATTGATGTACATGGAAGTAATAACAAATTAATGCTTGAGCTGGATAAAACTCAAGGGGAGTCCAGGCTTTCCAGAGACCATGATCTTATACTACTGAAGCCATGGACCAAGGGTCACATGAACATTAATTCTGAAAACAACCAGAGGGAAGAGAGCCATGCAGTCAAAACAAAACACAGACTGCCATGGGTATAATATTTTCTAAAGAACAATCACAAGGGAAAAACAGGTTTCTTCAGACAAAGAAAGCCTAAAACAGCAACATGTATATCATTGTTATATGTTGAACTGTGTCACCACCACTTCCCTAAATATGTATTAAAATACTAACACCTATACCTATAGATATAATCCCATTTGACAATAGAGCTTTTCCTTGTTATGTTAATAAGGCCATATCAATGTAGAGTTTGTCTTTTTTTTAAACATATTATTTTATTGGTGAAACAGTATTTATCTGGTGAAAGGTTATACAGCAAGTTAGGTTCACACCAGCTGCTCTGGTGGAGAAAGATGTAGTCTGCTTGCATAAAGATTTACAGCCTTGGAAACCCTGTGGGGCAGTTCTACTCTGTCCTTTAGGGTCACTGTCAGTTGGAAATGATTTGATGGCAATTGTTTGGTTTTTTGGTAAATAGGTACAAAATTATAATCTGTCTCATATAACTCAGTTAAAAGAGTAGCTCTGTTAGGATTTTTTTAGTTGCTTTTATTCCAACTAATATTTGTCAAGGAGATGTCAACAGGAGACCTGTGTTGTTTTCTTGACCAATTAACTGTAGCCAATTACTTTTCTTCCCTTTCATAAAGAAGTAACATTCTATTGAGTTTTTGGGTGAAAGTTCACACAAGTTAGGTTTCCATTTGACAATTTCTGCACAAATTGCTCAGTAACATTAGCTACATTTATCACAATCTGTCAACATTCTCTGTAATTGTGTTTCATTGTTCCTTTTCCAGTACTGTAGTTTCTCTGCCCCCTTAGGTTCTCATTTTTGCTTTTAGGTAATGGTTGCCCTTTTGGTCTCATACAGCTACTTTTAAGTACAGTACTGATCTCGCAAGTACTTTGTGTACCACTCTGCTATTTCACTAAAAGGTGATCTATCGAAGGGATAGGATTCTAGGTTTAAAGAATGTCTCACAGTGAAAGTTCAGGAGTCCTCTGTTTGTTACTGTTCCAGTTTGTCTTTTTTTTTTTTTTAATTTCAGTTTTGCTTCCTGTTTTCCTCTCATTCGATCTAGGACATTTACTGTGATCCTGGTTAGAATGGTTGGTCAGTAGTGGAAGCCTAGCACCATCTAGTTCTGGTTTCAGTGTAGATGAGGTCGTGGCTCATGCAGATCTCTTTCTTTTCTGAGCTTCTGGTTACCTTTTCACTGTACTACTCCTAAGCTTTCAAATCCAGAAAACCAATCTTGGAGGGTGTTTGGTTATATCTGAGGAATATCCATATTTATGTTTTCAATGAATATATTTGCCTGCATCCACACTTATATTTATATGTACTTATGGAGCTCTGGTGGCATAGTACCTAAGGCATCTGACTGCTAACCTGAAGGCCAGTGGTTCAAACCCACCAGCCACTCCTTGGAAGGAAGACTGGGCAATCTACTTCTGTAGAGATACCACCTTGGCAACCCAAGGAGGGGTCGCTATGAGTTGGATCCTACTCAATGGCAGTGAGTTTGATTTTTCTTAAGGAGCTCTGGTGGTGTGGGGGGTAAGACATCTGGCTGCTCATCTAAAGGTTGGTGGTTCGAACCAGCAGCCTTTTATGTCACTGGCGGTTAATTCTTAGGTTTTTTTTTTTTTAATCAGTTTGAGGGCTATTGGAAATGGTATTGTTTTCTTGATTTTTCTGAGTAATCTTTTTTAGAGTAGAGAAACCCAACTGATCTTATACCCTACAACATTGTTAAATTTTTCTATTAGTCCCAACAGTTTTCTTGTGAAATCTTTAGGGTCCTCCATGTTTAGGATCATGTCATCTGGAAACAGTTTTACTTCTTCCTTTCTAATCTAGATACCTTTTCTCTTTCTTGCTTATTGTTCTGGCAAGGACTTCCAATAAAATGTTGACTAAGAGTGGTGACAAGGGAAATCCTTGCTTCATGCTAATTCTCAAAAAGAAGACTCTCAGCCTTTCTCCAGTGAGTATAATGTTGGCTGCTGGTTTTGCATAGATGCACTTAATTTTGTTGAGAAATTTCCCTTGTATTCCTATTTTTCTGAGAGTTTTTATCAGGACAGTGTTGAATTTTATTGAATGCCTTTCATGCATCACATATATGAAAGGCTCTGGTGGTCTGGTGCCTAAAGCATCTGACTGCTAACCAGTAGGTTGGTGGTCAAATCCACCAGGCACTCCATGAAAGGAAGATGGGGCAATCTATTTCCATAAAGATTTACTGCCTCAGAAACCCTAGGGGGGTCGCTATGAGTTGGAACTGACTTGATGGCAGTGAGTTTGAGTTTTTTGGTTTTACATGATAAGGTTCTTTTCTTGGTTTTATTTATGTGGTGGATTACATTGGTTGGTTTTCTAACACTGAATCACCCTTGTAATCCTGGAATAAATCCCACTTGATCATGGTGTATGACTTTTTTGATATGTTGCTTAAGTCTGTTGGCTAGTATTTTGTTGAAAATTTTTGCATCTGTGTTTGTAAAGGATAAAATCAAAAGCCATACTCACTGCCATTGAGTTGTTTCTGAGTCATAGCAACCTCATAAGATACAGTAGAACTGCTACATAGTATTTTCAAGTCTGTAACTCTTTACAGAAGCAGATTGCCTCATCTTTCGTCTGTGAAGCAGCTGGTGGGTTCAAACAGCCTACTTCTTGGTTAGCAGCCAAATGCTTTAATCAGTGTGCCATCAGAGCTCTTGTTATTTGCGGTTGAGTCGGACCTGACTCATAGCGACCCCTCCTTGGGTTTCTGA